GTCTCTCAGAGTGGATTTTGTTGATCCTGTATTTAGAAAAACACAGACAAGCAGTCACACACAGAATATATTTTAAATATATCATATTCAAAATTATTCTCAGAGAAATGTCAAGATTGTGAAAATCTTAAGTTGAAATTCAACTACTGTATTGGTTTTAAGAATGTGTGAAATAATCTAGTAGCCTATATTTTATTTTTTGAAAATAAGGGGCAAGAGAATAAAATTAGACTTCTTTCTGCTTTCATTTTAATTGTGATTTTTTTGTGTGTATAGAATTAATTTTGTTTTTAAATGAAAATGAATTAAGATCTTAGAACTTGAAATTATTCAGTATAAAATACACAGGCACACTTTATTTTATTTATAATCAACCATAAACAGTAACTTTATTCCACCCACAAAAAAGAAAATAAATAAAATCTGTTCAACACAATGACAACCTGATAAACAGAAATCTCATTAAAGAGCTGCCATCTCCATCACGATGAAGCGCTTCACTTTGCGTTGTTTCAAGCAGCTTTTCATACTTTTGGCCACAGGGCGGAGCCAAAGAGAACTGTGTTTGAAAGCTTCGAGTAATGAAGCCTTTTTCAAAGCAAGCTTCAGTGCTTCAGAAAAGCTTCATTTGCCCATCACTACTGTGTATTGATATCTCTGGACAATATCCTATTCCTTTTTTCTATTTTAGTACTGCTTTTACATTCATAAACAAAATTGTATGGTGAAATGTTTTTTTAATAAAGATGACCTGGAATTTTGTTTTCTGCCGTCAAGCTGAGTAAACAGTCAGGTTTTAAATCACTACTGGCTTCTTCATTATGGTTGCTTTAAGTAATACATGGAACTGATGTATTGTCCTTTATGAATGCAACATTTATAAATTTACCATCAAGATGTAAATTAGCACCTCATTTTAAAGAACGATGTCTGTTTTTCTGACTTGTAAAGTTGTGTTATTAGGGACATGAGCTTTTAATTGTCTGAGAACTAGTCCAAATTGACTTGATCAAGGACTTTCATGTGGAAGAACTGTTTTRGCTAGATGCGGACTTTATCCGTTTTTTGTGGTTGAAATTGGGAAAAGATACTGTCTTCCCTGACTTCTTCTTGAGGGATCATTGATTGATCTCGTATTGCAAATGTCACAAATTGACAATAGTCTTAAGATGAGCGGGACCAGAACCAAGACCAGGAGCCAGAGTAAAATTCAAGTGATTTTTTTTACAATGTGGTGAACAACAAAAAACTAGAATGTGCAACAAAGGGAACAAGATCCGGGGAGGCTAGGTTCAGCAAGAACTGAACACACAAGGAGAGGCAGGATGAGTCTCAGCAGAAGTTATAAGACAAAAAGATCTTGAGGTTAAAGGGTTTTGTTGTGTTAGCTTACAGTAACTCTGGAGGCAGACAACTTGGGAGGAGGCACGTGGAAATAGAGAACTGAAGTTCCAAGAATCAAGAAGCAGGAGAGGCGGTCCAAAAAGTCCAACAGTTAGTTCCACAGGTGAGTCCAACTTGTAAGCTGATTCCAGGAGGCTGACACTGGCAAGGAGGTTGGGTAAGGTCTGAGAACAAGGGGAAAAGACAACAAGGTTCCAAAAAACACACTTAGAAGTTCTAGTGAAATAATACTTGCTGTTAAACATTAAAGCAAGGTGGCCAGGAGAGGTACCCAGAAGGCATGATGCTCCAGCGAAGACCAAGTCTCAGAATGAGCCTTTTAAACCCAGTGAGCCTCATCAGGAGAGTGGAAACAGCTGTGGGAAGTGGAGAGCCTTGGAACCAATTAAGCAGAGCAGGGCAGGCGCAGAGCAGAATCATCACAGCAAAAACAATTTTAGGGTAGGAATGCGCGATATAAACAATATACGGTAGAAATGATATAAATTTGTCCTATGATAGAGATCTGTAGTCTACCAGCCAACCGCACAATTCTTTTTGATGACGCAACCGGCTGGAGTCAAAACAGAGGAAGCAGCATGGCTGAGAGTGCAAATGAAGAGGGGGAGAAAAACATAACTTATCTGGACCACTGTTTATATGACGGCGCGCCTGCAGCGGAAGGAGAGCGCACCATTGCACATAGTGACGCAGCGAGGCTGAGAGTGCAAATGAAGAGGGGGAGAAAAACATAACTTATCTGGACCACTGTTTATATGACGGCGCGCCTGCAGCGGAAGGAGAGCGCACCATTGCACATAGTGACGCAGCGAGGCTGAGAGTGCAAATGAAGAGGGGG